TAGAGTAAAATAAAATACAACTTCATCGAGAAAGTGGATAATTATATGTTGCTTTCTTGTATGAATATAATTGTATGTGATTGACTTCAGAAATTAATTAGGCCTAACTGTTATTTTTAAATTTTATTGAATTCGTCATTCCCTCACTAGTGTATAAAGTGAGGGAATGACGCTGAAGTGAGGGAATGATTCAAGATGAGTATATTATTAAATTTTTTTTTGTTCAATCGTGCCAGCCAATTTTATTTCCCAAACCTGTAAAAACTATTAAATATATAAGACTAAATTATAATAAATATTAGATATACTTAGTATGTTATCATTTTCAAACTTTAGGTAGATGTAACTTAGATAAAAACATGTATTAAAATAAAATATCATTCCCTCACTATTAGTGTCATTCCCTCACTTTTTAAATAGTGAAAATAATTAATTTACTTATTAATTAATTTGAAAAATAAATTAAAAAATTAATAAATTAATTTATTAAATTAATTAATTTATTTATTAAATTAATTAATTAATTATTAATTATTATAAATTAATTAATTATTAATTAATTATTTAAAAAATTAATTAATTTAAATATTAAGTATAATTTATAGGATATATACTTTCTTTATAATGCCATTACATATTTCTATTAATATAAAAAGTTTCAGAGCTTTTTATTCACTTTACTTTTTTGGGATTTTATGAACTGAAAAATGACAGTTTTCGTGAGAATGACCCATATATAGATGAGCAATATTGTGATTCCGAGTATATACGTATTTCTCTACTTTCAGCTCTTTGATAAGACTACGGAGCTGTTTAAATCATATATTTTCAATGTTTTATTCATATATCATTTAAAATAATTTTAAAACGTTATCAATTGCTTAGAAAAAGGAAACGTTCAAATATGACGTAAGTACTTAAAGGGAGAAAGCAGGTTTGTGATTCGCTTATTTTTGATGCAAAGGGGTAAGAAGGGTATAAGCAATACTTACGCAATACTCTAAAATCTCCTTATTTTTAAATGCTAGTTAAATTTAAGGAAAAATTTGAGAAAAAAAAATTACATTTGAATAAGTTTTAAATTTGGAATAAAAGTTACATTTCGGGGAATGAAAGGTTTGAAAAAAAAATCTCTTCAATTATTTAATAATTATAATTAAATATTTATAATTATATAATTCTAAATATATAAATATAATTATAATATTATAAAATAAATTTTTTCCATAAATTTTGTATTATCCAAAGTTCTTTTCTTCATTTAAATTGAATCTTAAAATTAGATTACTGCGTTAAAATTGAAAGTAACGGAAACAAGAGGGGAAGGTGCTACGACTTCTTTACGTAAGATTGGGAAGATGTTAATAATTTGCTTATTTTTGCAGACAAGAGGTGCTCAAAACAGGCTTAAGCGTCCAAAAGTGCCCAAAACAGGCTTACTTGATATTTAAATATCCCCTATAAACTTTTATCGATTCTTATAAATCTTTTAGATTAATGAAAGTAAAAACCATATTAACGAAATAAAAATTGTAAGAAATTCATCAGTTTAAGGCACAAATTTATTTTACGAGCAACACATAAGAATTGTGATTTAAATTTATTCATTCGTATTAAAGTTATACTGCCAAAATAAATGAACTCATTTTTAGTACATAATTTATCATTAATGTTGTTAAATAAAATTATACGAATTTGAATCTACATTGAAGGTGTTGAATATTCAGCTATTTACTTATTTTTCTTCTATAAAGGAACATATTCTGTTATCTCATCTATTCTGAAAGGAGATAAATAAATTATCTAATATATGCAAAAATAAAAGTAAATATGTAAAATTACTTTCAAATATTTAAATTTTAGTATTGTAATAAGTATATTCAGGTGATCAAAAGAACTTTAGAATTTATTTTTTTTAAACATCACATTTTCTTCGTCTTATCGTTCATGTATATGATAAGCGAGTTAAAAATGTCTTAAATGAGTGCTTTTCTATATCCTCAATCTTATCTGTATCCGCAATCAAAGTGAAGATACGTTAATGTCATCTTTTGTTTACATAACGACATATTTCAAATCAAATAAAATTTAAAAAAAAAAAATAACATTCTGCAATGGCTCATTGCAGGCCAGAGGGTCATGGAAATAAAGGATTTACAAATTCTTGTAACCAACGGCATGAATATGTTAACGTGGTTTGATCAGTAAAATAGTCTCACCAACCACTTAGACAAGGTGGTACCTATCCATCTGACCAGGGTGGGCCTCAAGCCAGCAACTGGAATCCAACCTTAAATTAATATTACAGAAAAAAAAATCTTTTTTTCGAAAAATTTAAAACATCGATTTTGTAATTGAAATAAAAATTCTAACAAAGATCCTCTTTTCATTTCAAAATAATTTTAACATTTTAATGGGTTAAAACGATATTTAAAATGCGCGTCTATTTCAACTACTTTTTCAAAATTTGGAAGCCATTTTTAAAATAATCAAATTCATTTATAGTCAGTCAAATTGCTAACCATTTTCCAACTAGCTAAGGCACTCAGATTTTAACCTGGAGCTCTATGCTGAATAACAATTACTTTGCAAGTATGACTCGTTTCCTGATTGCTTAGATGTACATTTATTGCAATTCTATCAGCAAAGGTTATTTATTGTCTATTTAAATTTAACCAGCTGGGATGCTCGAACTTCAACTGCAGTTGAATGAAAATACAAGATTCAATTACTTACTGACCGTTGCAAGCAAAATTTACTGTTATTTTATCGCCAATTAAAATTTCGACTGACTAGATTGTCTGTTCAATTTTCAATTGGAGCTCTGTGCCTTATGAAAATACAAGGTTCAGTTCGCTTCCTGATCCTGACCGTCACAAGCAGATTTTTTTCGTCAATAGCAATTCCGACCATTCTTCCGATACAAACTGACAATTAAAAAACTAAAATGTTAGAAATCAACAAACGTAAAAAGTTTTTAAACATCATGTGTTTCAAGTGGGCAACGAAAAACGTGATAAGCACTGCTATTACTACCAATACTCCAACAACATTTTTTTAAGGTTATAAAGGTTTAGGTTAAGATAAAAGGTTGGTTACTAAGGTCTAAGGCAGAGGTCACCAAAGTGGTCTATATAGACCCCCAGGGGTCTATTTAACGTAAGCGGGGGTAGATCTGAGCCAGGGGGTCGATCCGAGCCGGAAGGGTTGATTGGTCGAAGGATTATCAGTATTTTTCAGATATGTGACAATTAGAAATAAAAGATGAAGACTTGGAAATATATACAGGTAATCTTCAAAAATTGAGCGACGATTTTAAACTGCGTTTTGTTGATTTGGAAAACATTGACATCCCTGATTGGATTATTGTGCCATTTTCTGCTCAAATTGAAAACGTGGACATCAACCTGCAAGATGAGCTTGCTGAATTATTATGGGGATTTGAAGCAAAGACGCTTTTTAAAAATTTAACAATAAGCAAATTTTGGACAAATATAAATATAATGCAAAAATATGTAAGACTTTACGAAATAGCTCAGCCATTTATGATAGCATTTCCAAGTTCCTATATGGTTGAAGCCGGTTTCAGTCACGTAAATTCAATCTTAACTAAGAACAGAAATAAATTAAATGTGGAGTTTCGAGGGGATTTAAGATTAAAATTGACCAATTTTGAACCCAATATAACGAACCTTGCAAAAAAAAAAAACACCAGGCACACCCATGTCATTGATTAAGAAGCAATAAATCCGTAGTTACTTTACTTATTATTTCTACTTACTTATAATTACTTATTATTTCATAAATATTAAGGTATTTATATTTCAACATTAATATATTTTTCATAAAACTATTGTTACACTATGTACTATTACTTTAATAAATGTTCAAAATCATAAAATAAATGTACAAACACAGTATCTAATAGAGTTTTATTTTAATTAACAGAAAATTACTTTTATGGGGGTCGATGGAGATTTCGAAAAATTATGTAGGGGTCGATGATCAAAAAAGTTTAGCAACCCCTGATCTAAGGTTATAAAGGTACTTCATAACCTTATACAAATATGTTCTCTTTATTTACATACATACATATTTCTCTTCACTCCAAATTGGAGCATAGGGTTTCTATCATAGCTTTCCATCTCACTCGATTTGTGGCCAGATATTTTGCCTCCTTCTTATTGTTTTCAATTCGTTTACAATCGTCCTGTGCCAAGTATTTTTAGGCCTTCCTCTTTTTCTATTGCCTTGAGGGCTCCAATCAAAAACTTGTTTTAATTTAAAATCTTCAAGTTTACGTAGAACATAACAACTCCATTTCCATTTGCGTTTTTTAATTTTCAGATCAATCGGTTTCTGTTTTGCTTTTCTGAAGATTTCTGCTTTACAAAATTTTTGGAACCACTTGATAAGCAAGATTCTTCTTAAATAGTTATTAATAACTACTTGAAGTTTTTCATGTTAATTTTATTTCAGTGCCCAGATCCTTATGGTAGGACAGGTTTAACATTAGTATTGAAAATTCTAATTTTTGTTAAATATATTTAGTCTATTGTCGAACTTATTTCGTCTATTTAAAAAAATGTAGTCTTTTTCTATTATGCAACTCTAGAAACGTTTCTTCTTTTAGAAAATAAAGATTAAATAATCATAACTTTATAGTTATTATTTTGTTATTATTAGCGTATGTAATTTTTATTTTTTCCTAAGTTTTCATTATTTTAAATTTTTTTTCAAAATATAAATAAATTAACAAATAAAATATATAAGAACAAATAAATTAAAAATGCTAGTTAGTTTCATTTGATTTGAGTTTATTCCAACGAACACTGAAGAAATGAATGAAAGATATAAAAAACTTTAATAAAAAAATCTACGACAAACAAGCAGAAAAAGCAACTTTCTCAAACTTACTCCAAACAGTTCGTGCTTCTTCTGATAGATGTCGCTGCTAATTATCGTCCAGAAAAATCTGGCTGGAAGCGCGGAGTGGAAGCAAAACAAACAAAAATAAATTGAAAAGCTGCTCTTACCATTCTAACAAATCGCTCTCTCGCCTCAAAGCCAACTTATAAAACCCGCTCTCTTGCACCGCTTGCGGGCACCCTATAACTCGCTAGTAACAATTTAGCGGATTGGTCAAGAGAATTGGTCAACTTAAACTTATTTTTCAAAAGAAACTATGCAAACGAAAAAATAAAATTTTATCTTTACTATGCAAACGATTAAGTTGGAAAAATTTAAAATTATAAAGAATATTTATTAGGAAAAAGTAAACAGAAAAAAAACTTGTTCGAAAAAATTCGAACGGAGACTCGTTTGAATATCTTTTTTCTTCCCCTTTCTGTTTTGCTTTTTCATTTTAGTTTTGTTTTTTGTATGAATTATTTTTTTCTTTTTTGATATTGTCCGTGGTTTTGCCACGAGCCGTGAGCGTGCCAAATAGATTTGTGTTTATTTGTTTGTTGTTTTGTTTACCAGTTCGCGTTCTACCAATAATCGCACTTGCGACGTGTATTGTTTTGTAAAAGTTTGTGCAGTGTCGTCTTCTGTGTTTTTCTGCTTTTTCAACTGTGGAAAATGATTATAATGAACTCTATTATTCTGTTTTTGATTATTTTGACAAGTTTTCCTACATCGTTTGGCAGTGGCTTAAGTGGAGGTAAGAATTTTATTTTATTCATGTCTAATTATTTTAATGAAGAGTTTTGTCCATTTCTTTACCAACGTTTCGTTTGCTGCTAATTGTTTGTTTATTGTTTATTTTAATTAAATTTTTGTTGTTAGTTTATTTTGACGAAAGAAACTTTTTATTGAATTTTTTTTAAAGGCTATCACCTGTCGAATTAATTAATATTAAATCCGCAAAATTGATTTTATATTTTTCAAAGAATTCATAGGAAATAATTGGATGTTTATCGTTAAAAGTATTAAAAAAAATTAGTTCAAACAAGGAATCAAATGGATAAGTAAAAAAAAAAAAAAAAAAAAAATTAAACTATGCAAATTGTGGAAATTTAGAAAAAATTCTTTTAGAAGAAAAAGTAAAAAATTATGCAGAAATAAAAGAATTTTTTTGTTGCTTTCTGAATTCTTTTGTTGCTTTCAGAATGAATAAGGTTTAATCGGATTCTTTTATATACACTTAAAATGGAATAACTTTCAAACGTATGTTTTAATTATTTTATCGGTTAACTTTTTTAATTCATATGCAAGTGTTTATTTTTATAAGCAATGCATTCTTTATTATTTTTATTCTATTTTTTTTCTACGTTTTTTAAAGAGCAAATGTTTTACTAATTGCTTCTTGAAAAACTTAAACACTAAGTTTTTTCCCCCCTGAGCAAGAAACAAATTTCATTGCACGGTGAAGCTTTTTATTTTTAAAAAGTCGTTCTGAATTATAATTTGTCTTTTTTTTTTTTGCTACTCAAAAACTTTGTTAATTTTTTTTTTTTTTTTTTTTTTTTTTTTTNATCATAACTTGTAAATCTTTTTTTTTTTTTTTTTTTTTAAACGTTATTTTACTAAGTGAAATTAAAATGCTCTTACATTTGGTATGTAACAGTTGAGATCATTGGAGATTTTACTGTTTGGAATATTTTACTTCTTTATTTCAAGAGTTAACCTTACGGGTTAACGTTACGCTTGCGTTATAATCGAGTGCATTGTTGATCTAGTGCATTGTTGATTTAAAGCATTGTTGATCTTTAATTTATTTATAATTTTCTCCTGCACTGTAAAAAATTCCGGATGAAATTCCGATGAAAAGTACCGGAACTCACGGCTACTTTTTAAACGTAAAATCCATATTTACTGGAACCTGGTACGGAATAAAAAATGCGATATACCACAATTTTTACAGTAATAATTACCATAAAGCCACTAACTCACGTTAATTAAATAAATATTACTGTAAAATTTACGGTATAATATTTTATGGTAAGAATTGATTCTAAGGATGATGCACCCAAAGCGACGGTACCGTAATTTGATCCGAAATTTATTACAGTGTATTTTCACGGTCACTCAATTTTTACAGTAATAATTAGCGTTTAATCATTGAATCACTCTAATTAAATAAATATAACAGTAAAAATTAATGTATAATACTTTACGGTAAGAATGGATTTTATGGTAAAATCGATTTTGCGGATGTTGCACCCAAATTGCCGGTACCTTTTACTGTAATTTGTTCCGGCCTTTTTTACAGTGTATTTTCAAGGTCTTAATGTTTCATATACCATTTGAATTAAAATATATTTCTATATAATGAATTTAAATAAATATCACAGTAAAAATTAATGTATAATACTTTACGGTAAGAATGGATTTTACGGATGATGCACCTAAATTGCCGGTATCTTATACTGCAATTTGTTCCGGAATTTTTTATATTGTATTTTCATGGTCTTAATGTTTTATATACATTTTGAATTCAAATTATTTTCATAATTTTCTTCCGGAATAAGAAGAAGTTATTTTATATTATTCACATGCTTTGCATATTTTCTCACCAAATTAATATTTGATTTTATCTTGTTACGTTATAAGAAGTCTATTGTAGTTGATGAGTTCGGATCATTATTGGAACAACTATTAAAATCTTTTCTTATTGCATTTCACTCATTTTTGTTCTTGATCGGATCAAAAGTCGATACTTAGAAGTTTTTCAAAGGTTAACTCATATTTATACGGGTAACTCGTCCCTAGAAATTCACTAACTCGTATGTACACGGGTAACTAGTTCCTAGAAATTTGTCCACTCGTACTTTACGGGTAACTGGTCCCTAGAGATTCGTCAACTTTGATCTATTCGAGTAGCTCGTCCCCAGAAATTCGCCAAATCGTATCTATTCGGGTAACTCGTCCCTTGAAATTCGTCAAATCGTATTTGTATGGGAAGCTCGTTCCTGGCAATTCGTCTTAGGTTTTTTTTCTGTTCTATTATAGTTAAGGAAAGAGTTTGGTAAGAAAGCATGGTAAATAGTGTTCAGAAAACACTCTCTCTCTCAAGCTTAAAAATATATGTTATAAGTTATCTGTAAATGTTAAACATAATTTTATTTTACAATAATAAAAGAAGATCGTTGACTGAAAAAAATCTGCTAAATAAAAACGCAAACAATAATTTTGAACTGTGAAATTTTTAGAGTATTTCATTTAGAGTGAAATTAATATCATTGTTAGCAAAACCATTTATTTTAAATACATTTCTTCATTTTTTATAGCATGGCTCTAACATAAATCATCCATCTTTTTCACAAAGAGTTCGATGTATCGAGACTTGGCGGCATATTTATTTTTTACTCAGCTCTTTAATTATGAGGTGTAACAGTACACTGGATTTTAGCATTTAAAATTTAATAAACTCACCTTCTTGGTGAGCTTATTGATTCGGTCAGGGTTTACGTTGCTCTGTGATGAAAAGAACGAAAATTTCTCAAGGTTAAACTGTTCACAAAGGGTCTCAAACCCATGATCTCTCTATTACTTTGAATATTTCTCATGAACACTGTGGTCGGTGTGAGGTGGGAAAAGTATATGGTTTGTCCAGTCACTGCTATGTTTCGAAGTTGCCTCGTTTAATTGGTTGGCGAGCGCTTTATTTCCTGAGCTCTCCGACTTAATTTTTTTTATTTGAAAACTTTATAAATTAAAAGTCTAATTGTGTCAAGGTTAATAAATAGTGGTAGAGCCGCGTTGGCTCAGGGGATAGAGCGTTCGCCTTCAAATGAGGTGAACCGGGTTCGAATCCCAGTCGATACGAATTCCGCATCCGGCTTGCACCGACCACAGTGCTGATCTGAAATATCCTCAGTGGTAAACGGATCATGGATTAGAGACCCCTTGTCATCAGGCTAACCGTGGGAGATTTCCGTAGTCTTTCTCTCCGTGTAACGCAAATGCGGGTTAGCTCCATCAAAAAGTCCTCCACGAAGGCAAATTTCTCCCAATACTTGATCCAGGAGTTCTCTTGTATTCTGGATTGGATTTAAAATTACAAGACAACGGAGTTGAACATTAGTAATCGTATACTCATAAAATTGGGTCGGCTGTTCAACGACGGTTATAAAATAAAATAAAATAAATTGCGGTGGGTTCTACATTAGCTGAGGGAATCATAAATACGCTTTCACTACTATAGCTTTATTTCTTTCTGTCATTAAGTTAAAAAGTAATTAAATAATAATATAAGAAGTGTGCAATGCAATGCAAAAAAAAAAAAAAAAAAAAAAAAAAAAAAAAAAAAAAAAAAANAAAAAAAAAAAAAAGCGGGCCATCCTGTTATCAATTTTTATCTAATGATCGGATCTTCAAATCCTAGGTGACCTCATGTATGTTAATTAATTAGTGCAGACAATATTTTAAGTTACGAATTTAAAAACAAAAACGTACTTTTTCTGAACAGACGGTGAAAAACTAGCTAGGAAAACAGTAATAGCTAGATCGGGAAAAAATTTTAGTATATTGTTTTAAATTAATTAAGGTGTTATTATTGGTAGAAGGGTTAAAGAATTAGAATATTTTAATACAGTTGTGCAGTGCATTCGGCTTGGTTCCCTTAAAGTTAAAAAGTTATCCAAGATAATTCTGAAAGGTAAACAAGCTGCTTGTCAAATTCGGCTAGTATTACCAATATTTCATAAACCGCAGACTGTAATAATTGTCTATTTTAACCTACGTATTACGCTGTTAAAGGCAACTACACATTATTTTACTCCTTATACCAAATGGAACCTATGTTCGGTTACCTTTTTAAACTTATTACAAAAACCACGGCAAACGACCGTTCTTGCATGTTATTTCATCAAGAAAACGATCCGTTTGTCACTTCCATTCTATTTCGAGTTCTAGAGTTAACGTTCTGAGGTTGTTACATCTTGATAAATCGTTTGCCTACATTATTTTTCTATGACATCTCAACTTGTTTTTCGTCTTGCAGCAGCATGCCTCTTTCTGAAGTGAAACTTTGTCAAAATATTTTTATGTGATGTATATTTTTTGGCTTAAATCTGTCTGTTGTTCAAGTGCTGTTACAATTTTTTTGATAATAGATGATGAATTTTTGGAAGAACGTGTGTTTGTTTTACTGCATAGTACGAATGATATTGTTTTCGTTTGGCGAAAATTCTTAGGTTTTGTGACGTTGTTTTTCATTTATCTGCAGCACTCATAAATTACGTTTAAACAGTAACATAGTTTAGTTAAGTTTATCCATCGTTTTAAATACTGTTATGATTTTTGTTTTTTTGTTTTGATAATAGATGATAAATTTTGGAAGAAAGCGCATTTAACTGACTCTAAATAAAGCATAGAAGAAAGCTTTGGAGGAAAGAGTATATATCAAATTTAAATGAGGATTAACTCTTAATCGGAATAATTGGCTTAGTTAAGAGGACAATATACCACAGAAAAAACCTTTATAACCAATTCAATTGATAATTATCACTATTTCAGAATTATTATGCCTAGTTAAAAGGTCATTATTTGCTTAGGAAAGGAGGATTAATTAGGCTTAGTTAAGAGGGTACTATATAGTGAAGGAAACCTTTTCTAACAAATTCAATTGATGATTTCCACTATTTCGGAATAATTGGCTTAGTTAAGAGAACACTAAACAGCGGAAGAAACCTTTCATAACAAATTCAATTGATGATT